GCAGTGAAATGCATAAGGCTTTAGGTGCAAGGGATGGATAGGGGGTGGCCTTTTTGTTTTTTCCTTTTTTGTTTTTTAGCCTTTATTTGTTTGTTTTTTTTTTTTTTGTATTATACTATTATTAATATAATTACTTAATATTAATGTATTTTAAAATTAAAAATATAATAAAAGTAAAAATAAAAGGCTAAGCTTAGGCCTAAAAAATGAAATTGGACCCCGAGCTTGATTGAATCGAAATCAAGCTTCGGCTTAAGAACTCGATAAATCCGATGCTTCTAAATCGAGACCCAATTAAAATCTTAGACAAATTTGGTGTCTATAACAAATAATTGAGTTTTTTAGACTAATCTATGCCTTTATATGTCATTTGTGTTATAATGAAAGAAATAATTTTTCAGTATTTGGATCACTTTAGAGAAAAATAGTTTTAAGTGTTTGTTTCAAACAAAAATACAAAAGTATTTTCTTCATTATTCATGTTCTTTTTTTGTTTCATCTTCTCTTATAAACCTTTCTTTAACTAAAAAAAAATACTAATTTTTTGAAATTACACACATAATCAAGTATTATATCCATATAATTAATTGAATAATTAAATATTACATTATAATCAAGTTACAATTACTGCATAATCAACTAATAAACTATAACATAACTAAACAACTAAATTCATACACAATGGGATTTGAACCTAAGATGTCAAGGTTATAAGACCTCCTCCTTGCCACTAAGGTAGTGTTTGGTATGTAATGATTACTCGAAAAACTATGGTGATTAAATCACTATATTAGGTAAACATTAAATGATCCTATGTGATGGTGATTTTGGATCATTAAAGAGTGATCAAATCACTACCTTGGAGGGTGATCTAATTTCAATTCAAATGGGTGAGAAACTTTTATCATCAAGGTGAAATAATACATAAAAGTAATAATAGTTAATATTACTCATTTAATTTGTGAATTAAAAATTATTTTCTCTTAAAATTATAATTATTTTATATTACAAATTTTTATATTTTCAAACAAATATTCATTTTAAAAAATTCAAAGATAATTTTTTATTTTTTAATTTTGTTAATATTTTATATATAATATAATTTTTTCTTTTATTATAAATTTAATATATTAATTTTATTCTTTAATTAAATTTTTTTACATAATTTATATTATAAAAATTGGCTTACCCATCAATAAATATATTTATCAATTTAATAATTTATTATATTTTATTATAAAATAAATAAAATATTACTAATATTTTATAAATTATTATTTTTAAACAACATTTAAATTAGTCACTTGTATAACAATTACAATATGCATAGCTATTTTTGCTAAATATTATTTGATTTTTAATAATATCAAATACAATGATATTTAATTTCTAAGAATTAATGATTATTAATCAAATAAAATAATTTCAAATTATGAATATATATATATTATATAACAACATACATAAACAAGTTCGTCACATGAGCGTTTAAATGGACAATTCTCTTAAATGGCATATAGGATAATTTTTTTAAAAAAAAATAAGATAGTTTTTTTCGATTACAAATTAGATAGTTTTAAAATTATTTATATATCAAACTTATTCATATTATAATTGAAAATCAAACCAATTTAGAGATATATTTTCTAACATTAAAATTATGAAATATGGATTTTATTTTTTTAATAAATAATTTTAGTTGTTTACCAAATAACTTTATTTAAAAAAATATTTAATTATCAAAATCTTTCAAATATGTTTAAAAATTACAAAGATTAAGTTTATTCAAATCTTTTAACAATCTTTTTTATTTTGATTTAAAAAATTATCATTTTAAAAAATTTACGTAAGATATTAAAACTTCAAATAATTTTATGTTAGATTTTGAAAATTCAAAAAATTTTCATCTTAAATTTTTAAATAATAAGTTCATCAAAATGATTATATCCATTTAAATTCTAACTATTAAATTTATATTTCAAATAAATGCAAAAAAATTAATATTATCTTTATCACTTATTATATCTATTTTAAAATTTTAAAAATTAATTTAAAAATTATCTATTTAATTCTAATTGTCACTAAAGAATTCTTATACAAATTTAAAACTACAAATGTAAAGTGTTAAATATCGATTTTTTTATTTTTTCAATAACTTTTTTCTAATGTACATTCTATTACTATTGCAATTTGGTTTTCTTTTTGTTTATAACTTTTTTTCTAGATATATTTTATTTTTATTACGATTTCATTCTTATAAAAAAATTTTTTTCAGTTTACTTTTATTTTTTGACATATTTTTTAACATTTTTTTATATTTTGCATAATAATTTCGTTAAGATTACAAAGTGAAAGTATATTAATACTTTTTTTATTATTTAATTTATCATTCAATGATATATATTTTTATTTTTTTGAAAAAAAAACAATTTATTTTTATTTGATATAATCTTAGAGGTGTATAAATATTATTATAAATAAAAATATCCAAAGGAAAGACATAATTTTTTTTTACTGATTACAGAAAGTTTTATTTTTCAATGACAAATCAATATATACAAAATTTATATATGCTATAAGTTTTAAAGATTTGAATATAATTTTGAAAAAAAACTAATTTAAATATATATATATATATTCATATTAAATAAGTAAAATTATTTTGTGCATAGTACGGATTATAATATAATGATAATATTATTTTGATAATTATATTATTATGATAATTTTATAAAATTACTAAATGCTACCTAAGCCAAAATATATTAAAAAAGTCATATAACAATATTTAAAATATATATATAGAAAGATTTTTTCAAAATATCCATGGACATATAAGATTAGATTGGAGATTGAAAGTTGAAAAGAGAGATCATAGAGGAGAGAGAAAACTTGTGGAGAAGAAAAGGACTTTTATGAGATCTTATGGGCTTTCTTGTTGGTTGCAATGGAAATGTTAAGAGCTTTCTTGGTGGCTTATTATATTTGAAAGAAGGTTAGAAATTAAAGAAAAGTATTTAAATTTGGAGTAAGAGAAGGAAATAGGGACTCATATTTGCTGGATTTGTGAAGGTTGTAGAATAAGAGAAAAAAAAAAAGTTTGGCGTTAAAGAGAAAGAAAGTGTTTAGATTAGCTTGACAGTTGAGAGGAGAGATGAGTTAGCCGGGAAAGTTGACTTTGAGACTTTTCCCAAAATGCGCACTGTTAGCTTTTGACCCAAAAATCAAGTTCAATTTAATTTTTCATTTTTCTAACAAAAACAAAAAAACAAAAAAACTTCTGAAGTCATTTTCCGTTGCAGCAAACAGAGCTAGTTAAATGTAAAAGTGGCTTAAAAAATGTGAAATGAACATTGTATTTATTCTTTGCCTTTAGATTAAATTTAAATGATAGTATCAAAAACATCTAATTGTTTTTTAACATTAAAGTGCATTTTATTAGACGAAACCAATACTAAAAGTATGAATAAGCCATATTTAAAGGTACCTTTCGGGTTCAAAATTTTTAATAAATTAATCTTTTTTTTTAAAATTTATTCTTTGATAGTTTAGATCTTCTGAGTTGTGTGAAAGATAGCTTACATCTAATTTTGAGTATATGAATTTATAAGTTCTCAGAAGGGCTTGTTCTATTTCGTCCCATGTGCCTGTTTATAACAAAATTAATCCAATGGTTTTGAACTATCCTATTTGTAATTTATAAGATAGTCAATTTCTTAGCGAATACAGATTCTTTATTTCTATTTTGTTCAAATAACACATAATTCAATTTTTTTTTTTTTCATTTTAATTAAGTGGAAACCTTTTGCTTTAACTAATAATAAATACTTGATTTATTTAAAGGATGAAATGATAGAGCCATTCTTCCTTTAATTTGCATATAATTAATACTTTTTTTTACAAAAAAAAAAAATTATTAAGATGGTTGCTTGGCCAATTGACCTTTTATAATAGAACACACTCCAGTTATAAAAGAAATGCAACCTAAACTATAAATTGAAAAAAGAACCCACTAGGCCACCTTGTCATATTAAAACGAGGGGCGTTATTTTCTGATTACATTCACAATAATGAGAAAGGTCAATTGCTCGTCAAATTAAACCTCTCACTACTGTGGTAATTGCCGCAAATAAAGAGTTTCGCTTAAAACAATTTTGTTCTTACAGCTTATAAACATGTGAAGATTTTATTGAGTATTTATGCTCAAATTAGTATCAAAGAAAATTAATAAAAGAGGCCACCAATTTCTATTTTCAATGACATAAGAAAAACATTTTACGTCACATTGCTCTTGTCAAAACCTACCGGCTGACTAAGGCACATTGCTATCGTCAAAAGCGAAATAAGTTTATTTAGATAAAGAATTTTGGAGACAAAAATCATATAGATTAAAATTTTAATAAATATATATATGTATTTGAAAGAATTGAAAAACATATTTTATATTCAAATTTATTCATAGATATTATGACACACAAAATTTTTATATTTAACACATTTAATATAATTAAATATGATACAGATAATCAAATTATCGTTTAATTCCAGAAAAAGTTTATCCACCTACACCTACAACTTTATAAAAAGGATAGAAAATTTTAAATTGAAACATTGTTTGGATAAAGGAGTAAATCACTACTGTCAAACTTCCTCCTGTCGTGTTCATCCTTCCCGTTGCTTTCTAATGTTTAGTACCCACAGCACTTCATAAAGAGATTGAGATTGGAAATTAAACCATTATAATTCAAGGAAGAAACTTCAACGCTTCAGTAAAATCGTCCCTGAACTTCGTGAGGCAAAGGCATTGTTGAAGAAATGCCACAGATCTAGGAAATCATTATAAGAAAATTCAGAAAATAACACTGGCATGTAATATTCAGCATAAACAAAAGTGCTGTTGTGTCATCATTATAAAATTCTTCAAAATTGGGTTCAATTTCCCCACCAACGTTTTGGTAAAAAACATTCATCAGCTCATCAACTGATTTTTTTTTTTAAAAAAATTTTCAACATAATAATCTGGGTGAAGAACAACTCTCCCATAGGTTCGGGAAAAAATACATCAAAATTTAAAATATGAAATTCAAACTGCTGAATGAGAATAAACAGATCTTCCTGGTCAAGGCTTGAGTGCAAGGGCAAACCCCATCTTAGGGGATGCATTGATGGCCTTTGAATCATACTCCGCTGAAAAGGTTATGAGTGATTTGGGTCTCCATTCACGTTGGCATAGCATTGCAACCTTCCCATTGTCAGAGAACCGCGTTTTTACCACTGTAAAAGGATCCACAGCATGGAAACTTCCAATGGAGAAATTGTTTTCATAGGTGGAAAATCTATGTGTCATCTCAGCAGCAACAGAAGTGAAGGCGTTAACAGAATGGATATAAGATGCCTTCAGTGCCTGTCCTTTATCAGTCCTAAATACAGAAACACTTGCATTCAAAATTTTAAGGGAAGACCATGATGGCAGAGGGAAAGCAAGTAAAACAACAATAAAAGAGGAATTGGGATAGTCACTAATTTTCTAAATAAAGTTTCAATTGGATCATTAAGCTTCAATTTATACATATTAGGTCACTGAACTTCTCTCTCAGCAAGAACTGCTGTCATTCTGATTTACAAAGAGAAACAAAAAGCTGATGTGGCAGCGACCTAGCATCCAAGTCAATGCCAATGAGTAGCAGGCTATTCTTTTCTTTTCTTTCCCTATTTACATTCTTCTATTCCTCTTTTCCCCTCTTTATTCTTTGAGCAACCCTATTTCCATGCATACTTCTTCCTTAAAGGCATTTGATTTGAGAGAGTAAGATTTATGGTAGGAATTTTATTTTTCGTAATTTGATTCCTCAGTTTAGTTCATAAAATATGATTTCTGAGGTTTTCTAAGATTTTCAACATTATCAAAAAGGGGGAAAGTACGGGAATAAAAAAAACTCTCCACTTTGTAAGGTTTTTTTAGATTCTAGAGAATTTTTTTTCCCATTTGTCCTCAATTGCATTTTTGAATTATATAGACAATGTTATTTATCTTATAAACGTATTAATTTTTTATAAAAAAATTATGAAAATAATTTTTTCTTAATATGTTTCAATAGAGATCACATTTTTTAGATTAAAAACCTGATATTTGTAATATTTTCAACAAAGATCATGTTTTTAAGATTAAAATGTGATTTTTGTTGAAAATATACTATGAAAAAAATTATATTTTGCTCGTTGATATATTATGAGAAAATTTATTTTTCAATTTCCATAATTTTAACAAATACTACATTTTTTATATAAAAAAATAGTCTTTATTAACAAAACACTACATTTTTATGTAAAAAAGTAGTCTTTTTTATATTTTAAACAAAGACACTATGCCATTAAAATCCCTAATAAAAGTTATGATTAAAAATGCAAATTTTGTTGAAAATATGAAACAATTATTTTTTAGAATTCAATTAAAATGATGTTTGTAAGATAAAAAGGTGCAATTTTTGTTTAAAATATGAAAAGAATTATTTTTCAGAATTAAAAAAAAAACATTTCTAAGATAAAAAACACAATTTTTGTTGAAAATATGAAAAAAAATATTTTTAGAATTTAATAAAAACAATGTTTTTAAAATAAAAGATACAGCTTTTGTTGAAAAATACAAAAAAAATTATTTTTTAAAATTTTTTAGTTTCAACAAAAACATGTTATTTGCCTGTCAAATATTATGAATGTTGATGAATGTTGCGTGTTATTCACATGTCATTAAGGACAATATAGTAAAAGACTTTATTCAATAATCTTACATTCTTCTAAGCCAAACACAAAAATCTTACATTCCCTATGTTAACAAAACTCAGGACTTACACATTCCACCCCCACCCAATACTTACTTTCTCCCAAAATCACTTTTTTTTTCTCAAAATCTAAGAATTCGTAAACTAAATGCCCCTTCAAAGTAAATCAGTCCCAATTACTTACATGTGGTTCATACATGCCTCATATGATAATTGACATTTGCAAACATGAGTGGAAATAGGATTTACCCTTTTTCTTTCTTCACTTACTAATCACAATGTCCCTAACTTCAGCAGCCCCTTAACTCCCTGCTCCCTCTGTCTTTAATTCTTACTGTTCGACACTCTCTTTCCCCCTCTCTCTCTCTACACCCTAGAAGTAGAACCACTCCTTTTGTCTCCCAAATATATACAAGTCACACATTCTAAGCTAAAAACACGCATGCTAAATACAAACATATTGATCAATTTATTGTGATTCCTTGTTTCAAAAGTTTCACATTGACCATTAGAGGTGTATTACCTAACAGACTCAATTACATTTTAATTTCATCCAAGTTTGTTATATCTTCAACCAAAATGCAGCAAATGTCAGTTCGTAGGGATGGTGGGGGAGTGCAAGTAAAGGCATTCAGGCTTCTGAAGGCCAAAATAGAAAAGAGTGGGCCGAAATTGAGACAGATTGGGCCATTGCTGATTCAGCCCAAAACAAAATTTTATGTGACAGACAAATTAACTCTCTGTCACTCTCATCTAATGACCAAAATGGTGGAAGTACTGGATCTCTTACATGGTTTGTAGAGACGGTACAAATTGAAGTTTAGAGAACCACATGACTTTATTAAAAATCAAATCACTACCAGTTAATTAAAAAGTATTTGAGGCATACTCGAAACCTTTATAGAGGCTTGAATATCATCTATGGATAGGAGGATATTAGTTCTGACTGTCTAGCACTCCCAAGTATAAATTTTCTAGCGTCAGCCACTCAATTTTCATCAAGATTGATCTTTTCCACTCCAAATCAATTATCAAACCTGTTACCTTTTCTACCTATGCCTAAAATTTGTAATCCCCGAAGCCCCAAATAAATTAACCAATTTTTGGCAATTTTAAACTAAATCTGGGAGTAGCACATCAACCACGTGTTCTTCCAGCTGCAGTTCTATTAAATGCACCATGATAGAGTGGAAAATAAAAGCTATTATTAGTAGGGTTCAACTCAAATTCTGAGGTAATTATGAACAAACAAAAATGCAACAGGATATTGGGAGTTGACTATCAAGCATTTGATTGAGTGGGGATACTAAATTTGCATGGTTTGATTCTTGTTATTCCTAAAATTTGGAGAAGAGGAAAGAGCACGAGCCTGTTTTTTCTCACAATCAGTAAGTGACACAACATCAAACCAGACATATCATGCAATTTACCAGAAAATAACAGAGATTTCACTTGTCTATTAGTGTACTCCCAAGAAAGGCAGGGAAAGGAAGCATAGGGCTATTCTGTGAACCATAGAGAAAAGGAAAAACTCCATTTTTCTTAATAAAACTACACAAAATTCACTTTAAGGTCCACTATAGTATTTCAATGTCATTCAAAACATTGTCTTGAAAGCTTAATCACAATCTTCCAAGCCTACTACAATGGCCTATAGTTACAGCATGACAATCATAATTTAGACATACTCAGCACCTTGCATTCATTTATACTGCACACCTCCATAGACAATAGTCTAACTGTATTAGGATGCTCAAAAGTGGGTGTTACTGTATCCACTCATAAATTATGCTGTAGGACTTTCTTAAGAGATGATAATTAACACCTAAAGGTATACTCTTACAAATATTTCCACTACTCATCATACCTATCTTATCCTTGGTACATTGAAAAGAACAAACAATTTATTTGAACAAAAGAATAATCACTATTTAGGTAATAATCAATTGGTTAGAGAGAGAGAGAGAGAGAGAGAGAGAGAGAGAAGCCTTTTTATAGGAGTGAACAAAGATCACCTTCCTCCACAAGTATATAGAATGTCTTCTTTGTTTTTTTTCCCCTTTTAAAATTTTTCCATGACACCCAAAAGGAGGCATTTCACTGACAACTCCCTACTTTGATCAAAAGTAAAAATTAATTTTTTTGCCACTACAATTTTTATATCCCTGTTAAGATTTAAACCAATTTGGCACAAAACTAAAACTACGTTGACTAAGACAAAAGATGTTATACTGGAAAATACCATGGACATCACTCATGCAATTTAAAGCAATATGTTAGAATGGGGAAAAGGGTAGATAAAAGTGGTTTTTTTGTTGAACCAGCTGCAATTGACCAAGCTCTGCCTATAGTCAAAGTGCTTGGGCACGTAAGTCCTAAGATAGAAACATCAAGCCAGTGACTCCCTCAAATAATGGAGAATTGCAGTCACAAATGGGTTTCAAAAGGTGTATAAATAAGTTACAATAAGTTAGTATTATCAATTGGAATATTGCTTAGCATCCTATCCATTTCTTTGCTTCAATTTGAATTTTGTGAAAAGCATACACCAGATTTTCTTGGTTTTTCCCTTTTGATTAGTCAGTTTTTTTTTTTTTTCTTTGATATAACATTAAGTGTTGAATTAGTTAATTTTGTTTAAAGGTATATGAGAGTACAACCTTAGTTTGATCTCCTTAACAGGTATATGCCCTTTGAGGCATATATGAGCAGGTTCCATGCAATCCACATTTCAGATCTTCTTACTCCAATTTTTGCTCTTGTACAATTCTAACAAGATGTTATAAAGTAACTGCTAATGATGTATCACTTGTCAACTCAAATGTAGGCACAAGAATAAGCAAAGACACAGCCACATGTACACACAAGATAAATATAATAAATATCTCCTTAGATAGATGGTATAGAAGCACTTACAGCAAAAGTGCAACAGAGAAGTCAGGCTTGTTCAAGCCAATCCCAGCAGAGTACTTAGTACAGGAAGCGGAAGCTGTATCAAATCCAACTTCACCACCTAAAGAAAGTTCCTTGGTTCCAATTGTTGCTGAAAGCTCTAAAAGTGGAGTTGGATTCAGGCCAATGCTAGAATCAATGGCGGCATGAGGATGAAGATATTGAACATCCAGCTGAGATATGATGCATAGAAAGTGTAAGCAATCCAGTTTCTCAAACATAAGATTATATTACAATACTTCAAGAAATTGCTAGTTTGCTGCCATTAACAGGTAAATTTAGTTGATATAAACCCATCAGGCAGGTCCACATAAAAGTAAAGCTCCAACAAACTATTTGCTTTCATAAATTTTCTTCTTTCCAGATAAAATGACACTGAGAAAGCAGAATTATGTAACATACATGAAAAGAAGCCATAATAAAACAATTTATCTCAACTACAACCTTGGTAAATATGTATTAACTAGTAAGAGAATTGGAATGGCTGACAGTAAGCGTAATCACAATCCCCACTGCATGAAAAGTGTATGCTCAGCAAATTTAACAGAAAAAAAAAAGAAAAAGAAAAGTTCATCTAGAACACAGTGCAATACTTTAGCTATGTGTTATTAACACTGTCGTTTTCCATATACTGTTAACATTGATGCACTGACCTTGCCAGATTTATGATCAGGTATTCTGAAACTTAAAGCAGCTTTGGAACATGGCCAGACATCATTCACAGTCACTTTTGTAGACACCTGCAGAAAAAATAAATAAAAAAAGGAAGATGAAAAAGGGCAAAGCTATTGAGATTACACAATAAAGATTTAACACCCTCCTTCAAATACAAACAGGCGATACATTAAACTGAACCGATACATAGAAAAGCCACAGATAATAGTCTTAAAATTAACAAATCTTCCATACATTAGAATAGGTATCAACTTTCACATCCACTGTAGTATTTCCACACTTGTAAACGGTATTTATGTCTCCAAAAAATATTTGGTCTTTCTTGAGCCCTGTGGCTGTAAGTCCCTGCAAAACATTTTAAAATTGACATCAGCTGACATAACAATCAAGTTGGTGGACATTTAAATTAGTCTTTTAAAATAACAAAACAATCAAGACTGTTTTGTTTGGTTTTCTTTTTTGTTTTAAGGAATTTATCAGTAGAACAGTTACAATGTTAGAACCTGTTGATGGTAAAAGTGAATAAGATATCAAAGCCTTGAAAGTAAAGACTTTTTGCAATCTCCAAGTTCTTTAGATTATTCATAATTATTAGGTATTTGGTTTCTTGAGGCATAGATACCAAGTGTTCTGTTCTTTCTTAGAACTCCCTTGTTCTTCAGTTTCTTTTTATTCTATGCTTCACAATCTTGATCTTCCTGCTGCTGGTTTCTCTAATTTCCTTAGCATCCAAACTATCATAGTTCTAACTTCCAGACCATGCAGCATAAGTTCGGTAAACTCGAATCATTTTAGACCAACCTTTGAGGAACTGCTTCCAAAAATATGATAATTACTTTAACAGAGCAAGAAACAAAAAGACAGATAAATTAATAGATGAAATAGTTATATAGTACTATGTTACTTGGACTCAGGAATGAGTGTTTAATAAGGATATGTGCTCGACATGGATACTTTTAATTTTTTTCTACAGTTTTTTCCTATATTTGGAGGCACATAACCATACCTCTATCATTAAATATTTGCTAGACACAATTACTTCAGGAGAAATGAAGAGTCAGAGCAACATAGTTTATGTAATATAAAGAACAGTATGTTTTACAAGAACTAAAATGGAGTATCTAAGCTAAACAAACTAACTATATATTCTTGACCATAACATCAATGGCATATATCCTGGCAAAGAAAAAGATTTAAGTTTTAAAGTAGATCAATCAAGCTCTGGCCAAAAAATAAAAATTAAATCAATAAAGCAGCTCAATAAAAGGGGTCAACTTTTTTTATTGAGGAAACACTACCATTCCAGTGGAGCTCAGCATTGAAAGAGTAAACTTCTGGTCAAAGTTGTAATCTTTTGTCAAGAGGTCTGCATAAACACATTTATAAATGATTAGAATCTATAGGTAAAAGCAAAGGACAGCAGGTTTCAAATATATGAAAGGACAAACGAACAACTGCAACAAGAATTGGTATTCACCAGAAGTTACAAATAGCATGAAAAGTCCCTGACAGTTTAAGACTAGAAAAGACAATTCATTACATCATTAAGATAGAAAGTAGAGATGATCTGTTAGATAAGTTTATCTTATTGAGCATATGGGGCACTTGTTAATCCTCACAGTGTACTAGTAAATTAGTAATCAATTGTTTTGGCTATCTATCACATATATAAGGCCTTTTTTGGTTTATTAAGGTTCCGTTCGGTGATTCCCCCCAGTGCAGTGGGGAGTCATTCACCCTGCACTGAAGCCCAAGTGAGGGACAAGATGCCATTGGCAAACGACTGGCGGGAACCACTGAACGGACTATAAGTGTTTGGCAAAAAATAACTGCATTAATCTCCTCAATTCCTCTATCCCATCCATTTCCATGCCTCCAAATAAGCTGCTTGCGAACTTAATTACACATGAACCAGTTTGACTGAACAATGAACTTAACAAGTCATTTCTAGTAAAAGAATGATTATCAAAAGTGCAGGCATATCAGACAATATCTAAAAATACAATCTGGACAAGAATAAGAATAAAGAAGACATGTGCAACGAATACCTTTGGCTTTTTTGCCCATATCTACAAATGGAGCTGGTCCAGCCATCTTGATAAAGGATAATCAGCAACAACCTGGAAATACCACCAAAATAACATCATAATTTTATCATCAGAAAACTTCTATTTAATACAAAAACAAAAATGGGGGTACTTTCTCTAGTTCGAACATGTAGTGTTAACAAAAATCAAACATTTCTGTTATCCATGAAAGTCAAACTTTACTAATCAAGTCTTGAAAAGTATTTTTTTTGCTTTTGTGTACAAATGTTATTTTAACTTTTTGCTAAGAGAAAGCAAGTGTCAAAAGCAGCATGCAAATGGAGGAGATAAAATTTCAGCTTCTTTGCAAGAAGGGTGATAAAGCCCCGTTGGTTGTTACTTTGCTACTTGCATTTTACTTTCAAAAAGTTGCTAGAAAGTAAAATTATAGTAATTGATTAAAAAGGAAAAAAAAAATAACATCTAATTCTAATATAACTATCATTTAAAATAGTGAAATGTGTACTTTCTTCTGCAAAAGTATATAGTAGATTTTTAATTTATTCTTCCACAATATACTTTTCGTTGTATCCAATCACATAATTTGCAATTTTATCCCAAGGGAAAAAAGGTAACAGAGCAACAAGCAACAAGCAACAAGCAACAGTAACTAAATCAATGCCAGCATCCTCATCCACCACTAAGCATTTAAAAAAAAAATAACAGAAAGCTTTACAAGCATCTTCACGTTCGAAATGCAGGCAAAAGAAATGAACAAAGGAAGCAATAAAACGAAAAGTCCAAAATGAAGAGATTATGGCTGACAGAACACTTCGGCATATGAATCAAATTAGCTATAGGGAAAGTGATATCTTAATCAAATAAGATTTCAAAAACAATCTCATCTAGGTTCACTTCAAAACTTGAGTAATCCAATCACCAAAACAATGACTTTTAAAAATCAATAAGGGATAAAAAGCTTACAAGAAAGACTGTGGGACGAGACGAGAAGAGAAGAGCGGAGACGATCGGCGACAAAACCCTACAGCGGCTGATTCGTCACCACTTCAGGGGAAAGCTACGTTTTTCTTCAAAGAAAACAGATTTGTGTATTGAAAAATTTTGAAGGCCGAAGGTCAGAGCGGGCAGCCTAATTAGTAGACGTCAAGGGTTTTGGGTCATTTCTTAAAGTGTTGAATCTTTTATTTGATTGGTGATTTTTGTTGTCAAAGTTCGTTGGGGATTGTAATGTTAATATTTTATTGGTCTGTGATATGTGCATTATCACAGTCTTGTGAGACTGAGAGCGAAGATGCCAGTGATTTAGATTACGAAATGACGAGAGTGACACGGAATGAAATTTAAATGACGTTGGTGTCCTGGAATCGGTGGCCAGGATTCCTTTCGATTCTAGCTGGCTCGTTAGAATCTCTAGTTCTGTACGAAGTGGCCGCTAGACTCGTCGATCGCCACAAAGTTTGCGTCACATCCACGTTTTAAAGTAGTTTTAATTGTGATTTTAATAAAAATTTATTTGCGCTCATAATCTAATATATATATATATATATATATATATATTATATTACAACATATATAAATACATAAATAAATTTATTACATAAGTGTCAACAACTCTTTTAAATGACACATAAGATAATTTAAAAAAAATAATTTTTAATTAAAAATTAATTATTTTTAAATTTATTAAAATATTCAAATTATTTAAATTAATTGAAAATCAAATCAATTCAAAGTTATCTATTTTAAAATTAAAAATATAAGATTTAGATTTTATTTTTTAATAAATAATTTTAGTTGTTTACCAAATAATTTTATTTAAAAAATTATTTAATTATCAAAATCTTTTAAACGTGTTTAAAAATTACAAAATTTAAGTTTATCCATAATTTTTAACAATTTTTTTATCTTGTTTTAAAAATTATCTTTTTAAAAGATTTACGTAAGATATTAAAAGTATAAGCAATTTTATGTAAGATCTTAAAATTTCAAAAAAATTTCATCTTAAATCTTTAAATATTAAACTCTAATTATCAAATTTATATTTCAAATAAATAAAAAAAATTTAATATTTTCTTTATTATTTATTTTATCCATTTTAAATTTTAAAAAATTAATTTAAAAACTATCTATTTAATCTTAATTACCACTAAATAATTCATCTATAAATTTAAAACTTCAAATGTAATGTGTTATACATAACTTTTTTTATTTTTTTAGTAACTTCTTTCCAAAATATATTCTATTACTATTGCAAATTTTTTTTGTTTATAAATTTTTTAAGATATATTTTATTATTATTACATTTTAATTATTATAAAAAATAATATTTTTTTCAATTTATCTTTTCTTTTTTCACATATTTTTTGTATTTTGTATAATAATTTAGTCAAGATTATTAAAGTGAAAATATGTTAATACTTTTTATTATTTAATTTATCATTCAATAATATATATTTTTATTTTTTAAAAAATAAGTTATTTTTATTTGATATAATTTTACAAGTGTATAAATATTATTGTAAATAAAAATATCCGAAGAAAAGATTTTTTTTACCATTTTCATAAAGTTTATTTTTTAATGACAAGTTAATATATATATAAATTTTATATATGTTATGAAATTTAAAGATTTGAATATAATTTTAAAAAGAAACTAATTTATATATCTATATTCACGTGAAATAAATAAAATTATTTCGTGTATCGCACGGGTTATAATTTAGTTTTAATTATAGTAAAAGTATTATATTTTTATTATAAAATTATTTTTTATTGAATCATTTTATTATCTTTAATAAAATTAATTTGTAACATTTATCACTTAGTTTCTTTGATAATGCTAAAGATGTTAATCCTATCTATATTTAATGAAAAATTAAATTTTTTATTCAAATGACGACAGAGATGGGTATCATATTATGCATATGGGGATTATAATATGTATAATTTTAAAATTTTTATTAGATACAAGGATAGAGATGAATAACATAATACATGTTCCATACCCATATCCTATATATAATTATATCTATTTAGTAAATATGTATTTTATTAAATAATATAAATTATTATTTTAAATTAATTAAAATTAATATATTTTTATTTAAAATATATATTAATATATATTTTAAAAAAATTATTTAAATATACAAGATAAAAATAATAAAAACTACTACAAGAAAATGACGTATTAACGATAGTTTTGTAGTGGCTTTTCACTTACAAACACCACTAGCTTTCGTGTTTTTATAAAATTTTAGGTGTTTATTATCAAAACGCCACTAAATATTCAAATAGTACGTTGTTACTTATAAACGTCACCCATGACTTAATATCAGCGGCGTTTCTGAATAAAAACGCCTTGAATAATTTTTATTAAAAATTTTAGTGAATAGTAAAGATGTATTTTTAACAGATGACGTCTCCAATAATCATGTTATAAAAAAATGTATGAGATTATTGAATGTGTTTTTTACAAGAAAATGCCTTTAATAATTGGACCAAAAAATTTCACAAGCTTATTGAAGTGTTTTTGATAAAAAAAAATGCTTTTAATATTAAGCTTATCAAAATATTTGGATCGTACGAATGTTTACCATAAGGTTGTAAGTTTGATCCCTCATTTTAGCTTTTTTTTTGGGATTTTGCACATATTATTTGTAATTGATTATTCTAAGCATTTTTCTTGGTAAAAATTCCTTCACAAATTGCTTTAAAATTTTTTTTAGAGAATATTAAAGGTGTTTTTCGCAGAGAGACACTCTTAATAATCCATAAAAAAAATATGGAGTTGATTCTTAAAAGCGTTTTTGGCCGAACTCACTTTCTATAATCCAATAAGTAAGTTTTTGTTGTGATTATTAAAGGTAGTTTTTGTAAAAAAATGCCTACAATAAATCATAGACAAAAGTTGGAAATGATGCTTGAAGGCGTTTTTAACTCAAAACACCTTTAATATTTCTAATGATAAATTTTAATGGTCGGATTATTGAAGGCGGTTATATCCAAAAAACACTTTAAAAAACATTTTGTTATGGATTATTCAAGGCGTTACCCGTAGAAAAATGCCTTTCATAATCCATTCGATTAATTTTTAGTTGGTATTATCAAAGGCATTTTTTGCTCAAAATACCTTTAATATTCCATATAATAATTTTATTTTTGGGGATTATTGAAAGTGATTTTGGTAAAAAATGTCTTCAATGTTTTCTGTTAGGGATGATTAAAGGCATTTTCTTGCTAAAATGCCTTCATTAATCCCATCAAAAAAATATATTTGATATTGTATATGTGAAGTCAGTTGTAGGTTTATGCCTAGAAAAACGTTTGCTGTCAGTTGTATATTTATGCCCATAAAATATTTTGTTTATATATTTGATACTATGAATTACATTTTGGAATTTACATAATGAACATTGTTGTATTTCAATAAATTGACCACACATTTGAAATTAAAACTAATAATGTTGCCATATTAATATACTTTTCTAAAATAATCGTACTTAGTAATTTATTAAGTACACATAATGTATTCATATGAAGTATAATAATAATATTAAACCAATACCCTAATGTACAAACTTAAAGTTTCCATTCAACATAGCATGTTAAAAACATTATAACAATTTGTTCCATATATATTTACATTCAACCAATAATGCCTAACTTGAAGGTTTATCAACATTGATAAATGATAATACATAATCACACCATTCTTTACGGACTTCATCTAGTTCCTCTTCTGTGAAGCTTTCTTTACTCTCCCATTAAAAAAAATATCAAAAGTAAATTTTAAGAAATGATAACATAATATACCTTTTTATTTTTTTGAAGATATAACAAGTTTATGAAATTTATACTAACATTGAATGGTGTGGTTATAAAATTATGTAACACTATCTCCCACATAAAATGAAGGACATAATATCCACATTCAGTATTACCGAGTTGATGAGGTACTTGAAAATTAAATTGAGTGGGTTTAAAAAATATTTATCTACACAAATTCAGCATAAAAAAAATATTTCACATTTACCGATACCATTTCGATTTCTTTATCTTCTTATCGAATGCAGATATTATCCTAAATTGAAAAGAAAAAAATTACTTAATACATAAATAAAATTACTTATGAGTAAATAAAAGATATATAATATAATAAAATGTAATACCTTTTTATAAAAGTTTGAATATCGGTGTTAGGCATCGTCGTTGGATTAACTGAATTAAGTAAGTATGGTGTTAAGGATTTGGTATCAATTACAATAAGCAACCAATGACGACTACAAAATAATAACAATGATATACTCAAATTACGCATCGATTAGATTTGGGTAAGGTTGGAGTAATTAAGGTTGGAATATAGCTTAATGTGTATTATATGGAAGCAAATAATAATCAGCCGATCTTTTCATGCATAGGATCACATGATTAGCACGATAAACAACTGTGCCACTCTACTCACTAATGAAGTTGGGGTTAATGAATCTAAATCTATAAGTCAACTGTCTCCCCATGAACTATCTATATAGGAAGCTGCACGATAACAATCAACACTTCTATTTAGTATTACACCCTAATATAGATTACTACATACTGAATGTGCATATTTGTATTTATAAGCTAACCTCATATAAGCAACAATATCAACAGCTGATAATTCATCTAGTTCACAAAATTCTTTAACCTCTTCTACACCAATGAAAAAAATGATGGTTTATCAAATAACCCTTCCTTAGACTCAATGGTTATGAAGTTTCCTCCGGATAAATGCTTCAGCGAATATTTGGATAACTCATCCATGTAAGCCTGAGCAAGGGTCATACTATGAGTCTGAACATCCTACTATAATATTTAATGAAATATAAGTATTAACACTAAATCAATCAATATAATAAACAAATTAATATTCAAATTATAAACAATATCATCCTTCTTGGGTGGCAGTGGAGGATGGGATCACTTCCTTACTTCCAATGGAAGCTTCTCATACGGGGACAATGCTATCAAGTTGGCTTATTGGCATAACTTGCTGCATTGCTGTCAACATGGACTCCAAAGCAATAAGTCTTTGCTATTGGTCATTGAGGCATTACTCTTGGTTATTAATTTGTTGCTGTCATTACTCAATTATTGCTTCATATTGTGCATTTCTCATTCGTGGG